GCCACTCGGCCGGCCCGACTTAATCTTTATTGTAACAAAAGTTACCTCACATAGAGTAGATTCCTATAGCTAGAACTCAGATGATGAGAAAGGAGGAAGTACCTTGTGCCTACTGAAAGAATTGACTTGAAGAACATGGCATTTGAAGGTCCTTTCTTCCTTTTTTTTTAAGGTTATTATTTTATTGGGGAACAGTGTGTTTTTCCAGAACCATCAGCTCCAAGTCAAGTAGCTGTGGAGGGTGCAACTCAGTGTCCCATGTGGGCATCGAACTGGCAACCTTGGTGTTGTGAGCACTGTGTTCTAACCAACTGAGCTAACGTGCCGCCCTGAAGGTCTTTTTTTTTTTAAGGTATTTTATTTAGTATTACGAGGAGTTCTGATCTTGACTGGAGTTCATTCTTAAAAAAAAATTTTTTTTTTATTAGTTTTAGGTGTACAAAACAATGCAATAGTTATACTTTTCACCCCTCACAAAGTTACCACCCTCCTCCCCCAAACTACCACCTCCTCCCCTGTGGAGTTAATTCTTGATAATTCAAAAAATTTGTTCCAGTCAAAAACCAATTAGAGGGCCTAATGAAAAATAGATACTATGTTAAATATCCAGGGATAAAGAAATAAGATAAGGAGGTGATTATAAGTCACACATGAGGGAGATTGGTGATGTAAATACATAATTTCAGTGCAGTGCTTTGATAAAGATGAACACAGGAAGTTGCTGATAGGTGTGCTTCTGATCTGTATGCTAATGTGCACTAGCTCAGTTAGTGTCAGAAAATAAAGGTGATTGGCAACCTTGTCTCCAAAGGTTTGGAATGAAGTTGAGCCACTGACAACTTTTCTCTAGTTATCCTTTTGAGCTTCTCCTCTGGGGCATGAATTGTGACATTATATTGTGAATAGAAGACACTAAGTCAAGTAATAATGTTCCATTTTAGTTTTAAATATGACTTTTCAAAATGAAAATTTTGTTTCAAACTTTATTCAAAACAGAAGAGGGGGAAATTACTAAGTCTGTGACAAAGAAAAAAATATAGTGATATTATAAATCACCTAACATTTATATATTGCTTTTATCCCCTCCAATGTAGATATTAGAGTATAGCTCTCCATATGGCTGACAAATATAAATAACCCAGAAGCTCTCTCATCTGCCTTATTTTAGTGAAAGATGAAAAATATACAGTTCCAAATTTGTCATCTTGGGAGATACATAATCCTAGGTATTTTTAAAAAGTTTCTCCTGCAGGAGAGTTGTGTCTGTTTTTAAGCAGGGCACAAGTTAAGATTATTATTAATTGATGTTTATTTTTCTTGCACCCACTAGAAAATAAGGATGTATTTTCAAATATACTTCAGATTTTTAAATGAATGAGATATGTACCATTTACGTGCCCCATACCCACCAGAATGTGCCTATACATTTAGTTTCCAAGTATACAATTGAGAGGGAATAACATCTTGATTCTGAAAATGAAAGAAAGAAGGTTTTGTTCCTGATATTCCAGAAAATGGCCTTCCACAGAAGCTGAAAAATGTGATGAATGCAACTTGACCTGATTTTTACTTAAAACCAGGTCTTGACTGGAGCAGGGAAGGGGAGGAGAGCCCCATATTCTCTCAGCTGCAACTGAAGGTCTTGTTCCTACCCCAAGGGACTCCTTGGGAGGGAAGGGAAGAAAACCTTCCTTCCTTTCCCCCATCAACCACTGTTCTGTCCTCTCTCTGCTTGCAACCTGTGTCCTATACTTTTCTGGAAGACTGGTGAGAATAGTTTCTTAACTAAATAGCAAGAACCTGAGAGAGATTATTGCTTTGCCTCCCCCACAGAGGTTTTCCGTCTTCTGCAAACGGCCATCAGAGGAGCTGTCCTTTCAGCACCCTAGTTCAGAAACACATCCTTTAAGATCCTCATATATTTAAATAAATATTTAACACCTCCTGTGTGTTCACAGCTATGTTTTAGACCAGAGGAAAGAAGGCAGGGTGCAAGAGGAAATACAGCAGTTCGTTCCCTGAAGAAGAATTCAGATATTCAGTTAAGGAATTAAGATGTGTAAATACTAATTTGTTAAATAGGCACATATCTTTTCATCAGTGCAAAAGCTGGTAGAAAAAAACGAATGTTCCTTCCCTCCGTGATCAAGGAGACTCCTAACATAACATATATATTTCTCCAAGAGGGTTTCTTATCTCTCTTTAATATAGTCATATTTTTCTCATTCATATAGTTGAAATAAGGCAATAATTAGTAATCAGTCAGGTTTTGTTTTAGGACCTAGAAACACTCAAGCTATTTTAAGCAGAAAGTGCTCTAGCACAGGAAATTAGATGCTTACAGAATTACTGGAAGGGCAGGGAGAAGGGACTGTCAGCTGGACCTATGGAAAAAATTTCCAGAACATTGCGGACCTGGCCCACCAGACAAGATGCTACTTCTCTGACTGGGAAGGTGTAGAATCAGGAGTTGTCATTGAAGATGTTGACTTCAAGAACACCTGGTTGTAGCTGCAGTCCAGAAATTAAGCAACTCTTTGGCCTTGAGCATTCTTCTCCACATCCACAGAGCTAATGATTGAATACTGATGTGCTGTTGCAGGAAAACCCCACTTCTCCACAGCCATGCTTGCCAGGTGAAACAGCAAGATGGTCTCCATCTCACCTCTGCTTTCCAAATCTTGTGCATCTAATTGGCAGAAGCTAATCTGCATCCAGAGCTCCAGCTGTCAGGGAGTCTGGGAAATGTAGTTTTTAGCTTTCTGGTATCTGTAGTTAGTACTGAAAGCCATGCTAGGATTTTAGAATGGATGCTGACTGCTAGTCTGCAGGACCTGCCACACTATTTGTTCTTCAGGAAGACTGCTAGATAAGGTGATAAGCTTGAACAATTGGAACTTCTGGGATCAAGGCGGGCTAGACTTTTTGTATACCTAAAGACAGTCCAACTCATGTTTCCTAAGAGTTTCCTTTGTGCAGACTGCCAGTTGCATTACAAAATACAAATGAATCTTAGCCCTAGGTAGGATAGAAGCACTATAATTAAGCAAGAACAGAGTTTGGAACACCACCAGCGACTGAGTGGAGAATGGAGGCATTGTGGGGCTGGCCATACATGTAAAAAAGGGAACAGTCGGCAGTGAGCAGTTCCTCTTTTGCTCTTGTCAAAAGTTCAGAAATATATTTTTGTTTTCTTAGTTTTTTAGCAAAGTTGCTTTTTATTTCCCCCCCAGCAAAAAAGTACAGGCTAGTCTCTGTATTTGTTGTAGGAGGTACGATTCAATTTTTTTTTTTCAGATCTAACTTTACTTTTATTTTCTACTGAGGCAGATTTTTTTCCTCGTTTTTCTTTACCTAGTGAATATTCAGTGTGATGAGTACGGTGGTGAACAAGGCAGATAGAATCCACCCTTGTGGATCTCACAGTCTAGCAGGATGACAGGCATTGAACAAGTAATTATAACCATGTTGAGTCTTGCCAAATAGAGACGGCTATGGAAGTGTTTGATGGGGGCCTGACCTCGTTTAGTCGGGGGTTAGGAAAAGTTTCTCTAGGAAATTGATGTTTAACCTGAGACCTGAGAGATGAGTGTAAGTAAGTCAGGTGAAGACAACGAGGCTGAGAAGACAGAGAACAGGGTTTTCTTGAGAGAAACATAAATTAGCGCTTTGCTCCTATAGCAACACCATATCTAGCCCACGATTTATAATCCTTGGTAGCTGTTACTATCTGTCCATAGAAGCCTTTCCAAACAGAGCAAAAGATATAAGCAAGTACATACCTTAGATTCGAACTCTGGATTTTGGGAAGGAGAATGAGTGGTTAGGTGTGATACTGGGAACATCAGGAATGGAGCTGTACCCCGGTGGCCACTGGAATAAGATGGCTCCTGTGAGGCGTCTGTCCCGCACATCTTAGTTGCCAGGTCCTGGGAGAACCAAGTTTAAAGGTCTCCCAATGTACTCTGCCCTCCCTGTCCTCACTGCTGCCGAGGTTCACACTCTTGTGCTGCTGTGCCAGGGTTACTGCAGGGTCTTCTTAGCGATTCCTTCTGCTGCAGGCTCTCTGTCCTTCAGGTTGGTTACATTCCACATAGCTGCCAGAGTTGGTTTCCTTTCTAAGTCACAGGTCTAATAACACTCTCCTTCTTAAAGACACATGACTCCTATTATTTACAGTATGAAGTTCAAGCCCCTCAGAATGGCTTTAAAAGCATTCTATGATCTGGCTGCCTTCAACAAGGCTTTGAGTTTTGAACCTCATCTCCTAATTCTTATAATCCAGCTGCACTGGGCTCCCTGAAATTCCTGATATGTCCTATACCAGCAGTTCTCAACCTGTGGGTCGCAACCCCTTTGGGGTTCAAACGACCCTTTCACAGGGGTCTCCAGGTACTTGTATGTGGGCGTATCTGCATGTGGGCCTGGAGACGGATAGAGGAGCGGTGTCTCGGTTCCTAAGACCATCGAAAATATGTGTTTTCCAATGGTCTTAGGCGACCCCTGGGAAAGGTTAGAACCGCTGCCTTATACTCTCATGCCCCATGTTCTTGCTCACGACCTTCCCTCTGCCTGAATTGTCCTTCATTGTCTGATGAGATTTCTCCCATTCATTCTTTAGGGCCCATTTCAAATGTTGCCTTCCTTGAGAATTCTTTCACCACTTAGCTCTGATTGCTGTCCCATCATGAGTTGTTAGTGGTTTTCCTAATCTTCTGATCATGCTGCTACAAAAGCTCTTTCCACTCTATGGTTTGGTTGTTGCATGTCTGCCTTAGTACTGGATTGTATGCTTCTCACCACCTAGTACACAGTAAAATCTGAATAAGTCTCATCAAAATGACCTTCCCTTTAGTTAAAATGGTTGGTCTCAGTTCAAGATTCTGCGTGACTATTTATTGAACACTTACTATGTGCTAGTCACTAAGGATACTGCAACAGGAAGTAAATTAATCACGTTTCCTGCCCTTGTGGAGCTTCCCTTAGGGTGAGTGGGGAGACAGAAAAGCCAGGCAAACAGACAACGTGTATTTACCCACCCAGGTCAATGGGTGATTAAATGATGTTTTCAGAATGTTTTTGACTTCTTTTTTTTTCTTCTATTTCTCAGTGTTAGAGATTGATTTTGCGGAACTAACCCTGGAAGAGATTATCGGCATCGGGGGCTTTGGGAAGGTCTATCGTGCTTTCTGGATAGGGGATGAGGTTGCTGTGAAAGCGGCTCGCCATGACCCCGATGAGGACATCAGCCAGACCATAGAGAATGTTCGCCAGGAGGCCAAGCTCTTCGCCATGCTGAAGCACCCCAACATCATTGCCCTTAGAGGGGTGTGTCTGAAGGAACCCAACCTCTGCTTGGTCATGGAGTTTGCTCGTGGAGGGCCTTTGAATAGAGTGTTATCTGGGAAAAGGATTCCCCCAGACATCCTGGTGAACTGGGCTGTGCAGATTGCCAGAGGGATGAACTACTTACACGATGAGGCAATTGTCCCCATCATCCACCGCGACCTTAAGTCCAGCAACAGTGAGTATGAAGGGATGGGGCTGGAGGGCTTAAGGGCAGTTTCAGACTCGTCCATGGCTTCAGCTGGAGTGGATTCCTGTTGGAACCTTAGTGGGTGAAACTCCTTGCTTAAAACCATGCCATCCTTGAGCTGAGCAGGGGTGAATGAGTGCCAGGAAAAATTGGTTTAGGAAGAGAAGAATGAGGCACCCAAGGGGTCTGGAGATAATTCTGAGCTCAAATTAACAGGTAAATTTCACAAAGTGTAATTCTGGTGTGGTGTACTGTGTAAATATATATATATAAATATAAAATTTGTATGTATTTTTCCACTTGAGGGAAGTGTGTCTGTAATCACAAGAGGGGTTTTCCTCTCTGGTGGAACATCAGGTAAAGCAAACCCATACCACCTGTTTGCATTTCTGTGTAAATACTCTGACTGGGCCCCACCAGACAGGGGCTCTAAGGAAGAGGAGGAGGTGCAGGTGATGCATGTGACAGCGCCAGCTGAAGAGCACAGCCTGGCTGGTGGTGTTAGACCTCTTGATAGCCTAAGGGTGGTATTAATTAATTGTCATAACTACCTAGTGTTTAACAGCAGGGAACCGAAGAGTAACTGTTTATTAAACATCCAGGATCCATAAATTGGATTGTAAAGCAAGTGTTAGACATAATTAAATAATGAGTTGGTAGACACTTCAGTCTCTTTTCTTGGCTGAATCAGCAGGTGCTGGGAATATGCTTCTATTGTGTGCTCATTTGTGCCTCTCACCTAAACTGCATAGTAGAGAGGATACAATTGGCTAAATGGTATATGCTTAAAATCACCGTGAGCATCCTGTCCAGAGAGGAGGGCTCTAGGACTTTGGGGGTGGCATGGGTCCCAGGAACTTGACCCTCTCTGCACCCTTCAGCTTGGAGCCCAGAAGCCCTTCAGGCTTTGTTTTGTTCAGAGCTCTTCCAGGTGTGGCTTATTTTTCTGTTGATGCTATTGTGAATCTGTTTACTTTAAATAAATAACGTTTTAAAAGGATGTAAGTAGTAACTTTTTTTTTGCAAAAATTAGAGAGTGTATATAACAAAAAGAAAAGAAAGATAACACGTAATGTTTTCCTTCAAGGGAATATAAGTAGTGCATTTGGCATATCCTTCCAGACATTTTTAAAACATACGTGGTTTATATATATACAAATATATTTTCCAGTTTACTTTAAAATAGTCTTTCTTAGGGCCGGCCGAGTGGCTCAGTTGGTTAAGAGCTCGCTCAAGAGTTTGAGCTCTGAGCAACAGCGGTTCGAGTCCAGCCCGAGCTGAGCAGCCGCTGAGCTGCCAACAGGTAGCAGGATGGCTCAGCTTAAAAAAATAAAATAAATAAATAAATAAAATAAATAAATAAAAAATAAAATAGTCTTTCTTACCCTTGTCTCTTCTACCTGTGTCCTGTTCCCACTTAATAAAGAAAAATTCATCCCTGTGAGAGTGTGGAACATTATATATATATATATTAGATATAATGCATGTGAAGGATTTAAGATCCATAAAATAAAACCTGGTTTCTCTTTTTCTTCTGCCATTATTCTATCTCTTTACCATATGATTATTTTCATCCCTCCTTCAAAATTCTGTTCTTTAAATGTATTAAACAAATCAAAACATTTGGTGATCCCTTTTAAAAGTAATTTCTACTTAGACATTGCTTTGGATGATGGAGTAAGAATTAACAGATGTGTTGGTAGGAAATGTGATAGAGAAGCTGAGTTTTCTTTATTATACTTTTTTTTTTTAATTGGAGAACAGCCATGGTCATTGGTTGCACATGGCTTTCATGCTACAATGGTGTAGTGACTCTTTTAGGGAAGGCGCAGCTCACAGTGGCTCATGTAGGGATCAAACCTGCAACCTTATCAGCACCACGCTCTAACCAACTGGGCAAACCGATCACCCCTGCTTTTTTTTTTTTTTTAATATCCTTATCATGCTGAGAGAACTAGGCAAAGTGCTCTAACCTGACATAATTGAGCCCATTAAAACACTTAGGCTAGGATGATGGAATTCTAAAAGTTAATTTGCTCTATGAAGTTTTAATTTGTAGTGTAATTGCAAGCTGTAAATAACAAGGGTTTTTTTTTATACCTTTTATGAGACTGTGCTCGGAAGTTTGGCTTTTGTGAAGGAAAAGCTAACAACATATCAAGGTTCTGCTGTTTGCAAGAGATGGCAAGAGACCTGAATGTCATTCTGTCATCCAGGAGACAGAGCCCTGGCCCTTTCTTTGTCCTTGAGTGGGTTTTAGGATTGCCAAGGGAAAGACTTCAAGTGCAGTGTATTGTGGGCAGGAGTTGGACCTACACACAGCGCTGTATTTTAAAGGACCTCATCAGGATAATTAATATCTGAAGTGTGCCTGGTCCGTTGGGCTGCATGGTTGGTGTTAATGTTGATGCTGGCTGTATGTCTCACATGTGAGTTGGGCACCTCCTTGGCATTTGTCTGTGGGCAGCTATTTGCCTGGGATTATATACAGTATATCCAGTGTGATCCTTGAAGACACTACTGTTCTCATCCCATTGCTGTGTGTGCATAACTTGAAAATCATTTTAGAAATGTTATGTCACTTTGCCTCTGGTTGGAGAGTCATAACTTCTTTGTGTTTTGCAGACCTGGGGACACTGGCCTGTCTCCCTTGATTTTTACTAGGGATTCCAGAGAGCTGCATTTTGGTCATTGTCAGGTGAGGGCAGAATTCCATGAATTATATGTATTAGTTGACTTTGAACCTCTAGAGAAAAGAGTATATGTATATATGCGCGCGCGCGCGCACACACACACACGCATATGGGGCTATCTTTGTGGAAAAAAAGAAAGTTGATGATAAACATCTAGTTATAAAAGGCTCAGTAAAAAAGTGATTTATTAAAATGTTTGATTACCCTGGTCACCTACTTAAAAAAGTAATTTGCTATTTACTGGCAGTGAAATGTAAGAGCATGTATTGGGTTGTCAGAAAAGTCATGACGTATTTTTTTCTGTTTTTCGTTGCAAAAATGCATCATGACTTTTCCGATAACCCAATAGCATCCTATATTGATATATAATCCGCAGGTTTGACTGCACATAACCTAAAAAACAAAGCAAAATAACAGTGGCTAAAACAAGGTATACATTCATTTGTCTTTGAAAAGAAGTCTGGAGGGTTTTAGGGCATCTCTATTTTAAACCCCATTTTAGTGTCATCAGGGACCCAGGCTCCTGTTTTTCACTCCATCACCCCAGTACATGGCTTGTATCCTTGGGGTTGTGGTCCAGGATGAATGCTGAAATGCCAGTTATTTGGTCTAAGTCACAGGCCTGAAGGAGGAGGAAAAGCAGAAGCATAGAATGTGCTGCTGTCGCTGACTTGTTTCCCGTTAACCACCCAGAAGTCCAGCAAAATACATTAATTGGTCAGAATGTAATCTCATAGCAATGGCTAGCTCAGAGGAAGCTGGGAGATGGATGATTTTGTTCTGGGGAGCAGTGAGCCCAGCTAATTACCAGAGCTTATTACCAAGGAACAGGGAGAGCGTGGCTGGTGGCAGTTTTACCACGGAATCTTACGCGGGACGTGCATTTGGAAGAACTGTTATCTCAGATAATTGGCATCATAGCCAAAAAGGTTAGCCAGGCCGTGGGACATGTGGCTCAGACCCCTGATTTAACTAGTGGTTTCTGTTACTTTACCACATTGCATCATTAACTTCAATATCATTTCTTGAAACGACTTGTAAAAGCCCTGGTTATAAAAATGGATTTATGTGTCTCTGCTCTGTCAGATTGGGGAAAACCAGCTGCTTGATTGCTAGCAATGGTGTTTGTGAAAATGGTCTTTTAGTGGCAAGATTTTCCTTTTGGGGGTAGGTAGATGGATTTCAGGATTTTGAATTACAGGCATTTGGTAGAATAGCCGTTCAATGGTGGCCATTAAAAGTTAAATTAGGGGGCTGGCTGAGTGGCGCGTTGGTTAAGAACTGGCTTAGGATGCCAGAGGGCCCTGGTTCAGATCCCACATATGAGGGCCAGTGACACTGCCTTCTACAGCTAAGATGCTGAACAACAGCTCACCCTGGAGCTGGGCTGCCGTGAGTCACCGGCGACGGCGTAGGCTGCAGCCCCTGCTGCAGTGGGTTGCCATGGGCTACTGTGTGTAGCCAGCAGCCAGTCGGCATGAGCGGCCAGCAGCTGCAATGAGTTGTCGTCCAGAGGCCGGCAACTGATCTGCCTCCTCTGGGAAGAGCGCAATGATGGTGCCAGCTTGGGCCAGTGAAGCCACATCCTCCACAACTAGACTGAAGAACAAAACAACAGCAACTTGTCTGTTCTCCTTCCCCTGATTCCCCAGCATTGTTCCCCTCTCCCAATTCCCCAATAAAATCTTTAAAAAAAAAAAAGTTAAATTAGGGGGCCAGCCGAGTGGCTCAGTTGGTTAAGACCTCACTCAAGAATGTGAGCTCTGAACAACAGCGGTGTGAGTCCCCACCATGCTGAGCTGCCAACAGGTGGCAGGATGGCTCAGCTAAAAAAAAAGAAGTTAAATTGGGGCCAGTCGAGTGGCTCATTGGTTAAGAGTTGGCTTGGGAGTATGAGCTCTGAGCAGCAGGGCCGCCAGTTCAAATCCCACAAGGGCCGGTGACACTGCGCCCTCTACAGCTAAGATGGTGAACAACAGCTTGACCTGGGCTGCCGTGAGTATCCGGCAACCACGTAGACTGCAGTGGGGCTGCAGTGGGTTGCCATAAGTTACCATGAGTGGCCTGCAGCCAGTGTGAGCGGCCCGCAGCTGGCGTGAGCCCCATGAGATGCCGTCCAATGGCCAGCGACCAATCTGCCTCAGCCGGGAAGAGCGCAATGATCACAATACCACCCAACATGGGCCAGTGAAGCGACATCCTCCACAACTAGACTGAAGAACAAAAGCACAGCAACTTGTCTGTTCCCCTTCCCCGATTCCCCAACGCTGTTCCCCTCCCCCAACTCCCCAATAT